CCTTTTGAACTGTCTGTACTGATTGAGTTGGTAAGACAGTAGCAGGTCCAGATTGCAGTAGATGCCCTGGAGTTAATAATGATGGTGTGGATGTCTCCACAGGACCAGTATTCAATGCTCCAACAGCAATTTTAGATTGAGACGGACCTGGTAAAGGATTGGGTATATTAGTGATATGAGGTGCAACAGTAGTAGCACCAGGGTTTGTAGTAGGAGGTAATGCTGGCAAAGTGGAACTAAATGTTGCCGTGGAGACAGCAGTCAGTGAAGTCTTGTTTGACAAATTACTGGATACTGTTTCAGAACTAGGTGCCAAATGTTGCAGCGGCAGGACACTTGAAGGCAAAGCTGGAGCAGGTTGGAGGGGCAGCACATTTGAAAGCAAGGCTGGTGCAGGTTGGAGAGGTAGGGCACTTGAAGGCAAGGCCGGTGTAGGTTGAGGTGGCTGCGCACTAGAGGGCAAAGATGAAGCAGGTAAAGAAGATGAGGTTAGACTAGCAGTGTTTGGAATCAATGGAGGAGGGTATTCAGGCAAGTTTGACCCTGGTAGACTCAATCCTCCAGTTGGCATAGATGAGTTGAAAGGAGAATACTGCATCTGTGGCATGGAAGGAGGCATCGACAGTCCAGGTGGGGGTCGAAGCAGTGACTGTTGGGGCATTTGGGGTAGTCCATTTGGGGTACCATAAAACCCCGGCCAATACATTGGCATAGCAAGTCCACTACCACTTGCATTTTGGGGTGGATGTGATGGCCCCCAAGAGCCTAAATTCCCTCCAGGTTGATACAAAGGTAGAGCACCTTGAGATGCTGGTCCAGGATGTCCCAGTTGTGATGAATGAGAATTAGGATCCACCACCGGAGCACTGGAAACTGGAAGCAAGCTTGAAGATGTGGTAGGTGGACGAGGATAATGAGACTGCAGAAAGAAAATGAATTCTGTTAGAACAGACCTAATTAAATATATTAGATCTTTATCATTACTTGCCTGAATAATAGCTGGATCATTGTTTATTTGCGGTGTACTCTGAACAGGCGGAGAAGCCTTCACTTGTAAATCCTGCAAAAGAGTACTTTTCAAGCTTTAGTTGAGTTCAGCTTTTGATACAAAAATAATAATGATAAACACCAAGGCAATTATAAACTCAAAATAAACAACACTAGCAATAAATTTAAAATTCCTGTGTAATGACTATTGACTGAGCAAACAGATACAAGCAAACAGTATCCAATCCACAGTTGGAGCTGGTTTAACTCCTTTTTTACACATCTAAAATTCATGTCATAACATCTTCTCAGCATAAGCAACTCCCCACCCAAACCATGTCTTGCTAAGAATGTTGAATGCAGTGGATAACATTTTATTAACTTATGACAAATAGGAGCCAATTTGGTCACTTCAGAGTTCAGTAAAAAGGAAAGAAAACAGAGATTAGATCACTGAAGAAATAATGACACACCATTGCAGCCTTGCTTGGGGTTTTATATTTTCAACTCCAAGCCCAAGGAAAATTGGTAATGCGAATATTTTCTATCAATCATTGCTTCCTATCTCAAACACATTGTTTAAATGAAGATCAAAAGTTTAACACCCCCCCCCCCCCAAGTCCCACCCATTTAGGCATGAATGCATCAAATCAACAAAAGCATATCAGTGCAGTCAAGACAAGTAAAAGCAGCATAACACTCTAAATATTGAAATCAAACAAGAAGGCCACCTTGATATCACTTCCCCGAAATAGTATATATTCATAAACTTTGTCACTTGCAAGAACTTGAGGACCATCTTTTTTCCTCCCTTCTGTTCCAAATGATCTAACTGTCATGACAAAATGAGCACAACAATGAGCTTATACGAATACTAACACAATTTAATTTTTGAAAATATTGTGAATGAAGACTCAGCCCACAACAATAATCATTCTGTTGTTCAATCATAATATACTATTCCTGATTAGATAGAAAAAAAATCAGCAATTTGTATGGGCATGCAATATGTGCACCTATAATCTATATGGCATCATTCCCACATTGCTTAAGACTTTAAAATAATATGAACATAATGCAGTCTCAGACTATATTATCAAGATTTTCAGGTGCAGCAGCACAGAACTAATCTATCATCCGAATGTTAGGTATAGGAAAAGGACTAACAATTTGACAACCAAAACAAGGTAACCAAAGGTCAAGCTCCAATGGTATATGCTTATAGCAGATGGAGGCAACAACAGTAAACACCAGTATCTACTCCATGAAGTGCCAATTACCTCCTACTATTGGATAGGTTTACACAGTGATAAACTTAACGAACATTTGTTCTGACACAGTCAAGTAAATGTTTACAAATAACAAACCCATTGCATAAATTTCTTAGGATTCCTTCCATTTCTTCCAACAACAAAAAAAAATCGCTAAATAACTTTTTACTTTTTTTATCTGAAAGGAACAAAGCACAAAGGTTTAGATGTTAATAAAACACAGAAAAGGCATATAAACAAACTCACAGGAAATTTTCAAAATTTAATCATACTAAAAAAAATAAAAAATAAAACAAATATTTAAAGAATCAAATGATTTTAATTCGGGAGAGAAATTCACCGTTGCGTAGGCCGATACTGGACTCATCGGTGTTGATGTTGTACAGAACACCTTCGTATCTGATCTCGCTCTTCGACGTCAAGCTAATCAGACTGCCAATGTAGGAATCGGGCGATGCACCAGATCTAGGCGCCGATGAAGAACTCTCTGCCGCCATGCTCGGCCACTGAAATCATCCACCGCGAGAAAGAGATGACTCTACAATTTGACTGTGTTTGAAGATGGAGATTGGGGGAGAAGACCGGAGGAGACGGGGGATTGAAGAAAATTAGATTTAGGGTTTCGGTTTCGCCAAATTAAGGGGGCGTGTTCGTAATTATCGACATCTCAATGGTTGAAAGGGAAATTTTGGGGGATTGTACATTGTGCAAGAGGAGTTGTTCCATTTCAGGCAATAAAGGGGATTTAATCAGCCTAGCCACGTAGGACTGTCAACTGTGTATGTTTGACACTTTGACTTGGATAGCGGAATGGTCTTTTCATTTTTTTTGTGTATGTTACAAATTCTGTATATTGATATAATTTGTAATAAATTATATTAGATAACGTAAAATTGGTGTAAAAATGGTCAATATAATTTGTTACTATAAACATTATTAAAAAAAATATTTTGTCACTCTTTCTACTTTTACTCAGCACAAATGGAATTAGTATGTGATTCTAGTTGACTCGTCAAAAAAATATGTGATCAGACAAACAATTAAAATGTACAAAATTATTATTTTTGGGCGTGTATTTATTTGATGTATTGAATTTTAATCTAGGTACTAATTCTTTTTTTTTTTTTGCAAGATCTCAAATAAGTTATAATTAAGGTTTAAAATAAGTTATACAAAATCGTAAATTATATCGTGGACCCTAGCTCAAAACTATGTCATTAACAGCCCCTACTAGTGCATCATGTTTAATAACATTATCATGTACTATGTTCATAATATTTGTTCTACATGTTCATAAACCTAAAACTAAATATGCAAAAACACTAGATTGCAAGTACATCATATCTATTTACATCCACTCTAAAGTAGGGAAAATCAACGATTTGGTCCCTCAATTGTTAGCGAAATATCAATGTAGTTCCTTAATCGCTAAATCATCGATTTAGTCCCTGGAAATAACTGTTTTTAGTCGATTTGCCCCCTCCGACCGTTCCCCGTTGAGAATCCGGCGAATGCTCCGATTTGGCATGGGTAAGTTTGTCATTTCACATTTTGGTCCTATTCTTTTTGCCCTATTTAATTGGTTTAGTCTTCTTCTTCTTCAACGATACAAGAGATTGAACAGAGAGCAGGTTTGAAGAGATTGAACAGAGAGCAGATTTGAAGAGATTGAACAGAGAGCAGATTTGAAGAGATTGAAGACTCCAAGCAACGAATAAGAAACATAATGTCTTGCAACAACAGTTCTTCAACGGAATTCATGGCGGATGTGCGATGTAGGTGCGGATATTTGGCTCCAATGAAGATGTCATGGAGTTATGCTAACCCAGGGAAGAGATTTAGGGCATGTCCAAGATACGGAGTAAGTGTTAAATTTTGTAAATTTTGGGAATATTTGACAGTGTGAGTTCTGCTCTGCTCAGGGAAATGAGAGTTGCAGGTATTTTGAATGGATGGACTATGATGTCTCCGATCGTGTAGCAAATGTCATTAGAGGATTGTTGAAGAGGGCAGACAAGTATGAGAAGGAAATTGACAAGCTGCACTTGACAATTGAGAAAAAGGATCATGAATTTAATAAGAAGATTTGGGAGTCCAATTTTAAGTTTTTGTATGGATTTGGAATTGGTTTTGTATTTGCACTGTTTGTTATGAATACATGGATGAAATCTGATGTAGCAAATGTAGGGTTATTGCAGCTTAAGTAGTACTGTAATATGATTTGGGAGTCCAATTGTGTAGTTTGTTTTCCAGTGGATGGTGTAATGAATTGGCTTGTGATGGTTAATGATAAGTGGATGGTTATCTTCCTTTTGACAGTGGATGGTTAGCTTCATTTTGGCAGTGGATGGTTAGATTCATTTTGACAGTGTGTGTATATAATCAAGACAACTTACACAAAACCTGCTCCAATATTGGCATTAACTAATTCACATAACCAACTTACACAAAACCTGCTCCACAAAAACTGCTCCAATCAAGACAGTTCACATAACTAATTAACATAACCAATTCACATAAACTGCTCCAATATTGGCATTAACAGAACCAATTCTTGAATGTTACAAAGTAGTATTACTACATGGTCACCATCTTATCAACTTACTACATGGCATTAACCAATTCACCAATTCACCATCTTACAAAAAAGTTTGCAAACTTACACCAAGTTCACCAATTCACAATTACATTTAAGCTTACAAAATACTCCTACAAAATAGTTTCCCAACCTACACAGAAAGATCACTTTTTCTTCATGCCTTTAAGTCCTCCAACAGTTACATATTTCTTCCTTCTAGTGGTAATCCCATGATCTACAGCTTGAGATGATATGTGTGAAGAGATAAAGTTCGACATGCTTGGGATCACATTTTTTCCTTCAATGGCTTGTGATGGTTGGGATGTCATTGCTTCCTGAAAATATGGGCACAAAAAATTATAAATAACAAATTATATGCACTGCCAAGTGTTAAAGTTTACTTACCATTTCATTTAGCACAAAATCTGGGACTTGTGTCTCAACCACCACATCATGGCATTCCTCTTGATGGAAATGATGTTCAGGTTCCTGCAGCTCTTCATTTACTTCATCTACCACTGGTTCTTGTACCTGCCATTAATAAAACAAGTTAACAAAACCATCATGCCACACAAACCAGTTAACAATAACCAGACATCCACTTACCTGTTTGCCTTTTGTCTTGCAAGTAGTCCTATTATGACCTCTCATGTCACACAACCTACACTTTTTAACTTCACCTTGTTTAGTAGATTTTGTTTGATCTGGCTTTTCCACAATTGGATCTATCTTTCTCTTCTTCTTTGGTGGGATTGGGGGTGGTTCACTAGTTTTGTGCCATAATTCTGGGGCTCGGATAGGCAATATTGCAGGGCCATATGCTCTCATGTACTGCTCCACTGTATAACATTGATGGACATAATCTTCTGGAATATCACCCTTTTTCCTTATAGCTACAATGGCATGTGTACAAGGTATGCCAGTGAGGTCCCATCTCCTGCAACTACACTGCCTAGCACCTAGATCAATCTTGAAAGGCTTGAAATTGTCATCATCAACTTGGTAAATATCACCAACAGATTTATATGCATTGAATCTACAACATCTGTCTTTTCCTTCTTCTAGGATTTTCTGAATTTTTGGACAGACCTTGAAGGGATGACAACTCATTTTGTCCCTATTCTTTTGCATCTTAATCATCAAATATAACCTTATCTTCTCAACCATTGTTTGTATTGGCTTATCCCTGAAATTTAGAATGCAACTGTTCCAAGATTCACAAAGATTATTAAGTAGCAAATCTGACTTTGGGAATGTGCTGAAAAATGCCCTAGAGTAGTGTTTCGGATCCCTTGCACTTAACCATTCAAAAGCCTTAGGATTCTCCAACTTTAGCTCCTCCATCTTTGCATGAAAATCTGCCTCAGTAGTAGCCTTACAAACTGCCCAGAAGTGCATTTTGAGGGTATGACCTGTAAACCCATCCTTCATAAAATTGGCATGTAGATGCCTAGCACAAAACCTATGTTCAAGCCCTGGAAATAGTTCCTCCACAGCAGGTATTAAGCCCTTCTGTTTATCAGAAATGATTGTCCAAGCACCAGGATTATTTGAGATGTTTAAGTCACTGTCCAATAAATCCAAAAACCATGACCATGTCTCCTTCAACTCACCCTCAACAATAGCAAATGCTACTGGAAAAAGGCTATTATCACCATCTATTGTTGAGGGTGAGTTGAAGGAGACATGGTCATGGTTTTTGGATTTACCATCTAAAGCTATAGCACTCAGTAGTTGCCCTCCTTTTTTAGGACCCTTTAGGTGGCAGCCATCAACCCCAATAATGGGTCTACACCCCCTAACAAACCCTTCCTTGCAAGCTGCAAAGCAAATGTACATCCTAACAAATCTAGGCCTTCCATTCACACTAAATTCAGTGTCTAATTTCATTTTGACAGTGCTTCCAGGGTTGCTTCTTCTTAGTTCTTCACAATAGTCATTCAGTAACTTGAATTGTTCTAAGTCTTGTCCATCTATTTGCTTTAAAGCTTTCTTTTTTGCCAAATATGCTTGGTTTCTAGTTAGCTGGCAGTTGAATTTAGACTTCACATGCTCCTGAAATGGTCCTCTACCCCATTCTGTATTCACTCTGAAATCTTCCTTGAAGAATTTTGCTAAAAAACCAGAAGTTACAACCTTGTTTTCATCTTGATTCCCACATGTGTCAACAGAATTGTAAGTCTTGATAGTAAATGGAGAACCTGGATTGCTTTTTGAACCAAAAATATACCAGTTGCAGACATGTTGGTGTCTACACACTACCCTAACTCTTCTCCCCTCATTCTTCTTAAACATAACATCTTTCTGCCTCAGACTTTCATGGTATTGAACTGCCCACTTGAATTCTTTAGCAGAATTAAACACCATTCCAAGCAGAAATTTAAACCCTTCCTTTTTTAAATTTCTCTCTTCAAACACATTTAATGGACCATGAACTTGCCCCTCTGAATCTGAATCACACAAACTCCTTAGTACTTGTTCAGAAAATTCACATTCAATCTCCACAAAATCCTCAACCACATTCTGTTTTGAACTAGTAGCAGTGTCCCTAAGATTGTTTGCAATATCAGGTTGTCCTTCATCATGTAATTCAACTTCATCACCTGCTTCAACTTCATCACTTTCCATACTAACTTCTTCATCATGCAATAACACATCATCTCCTAGTTCCTAGAGATTTCTACATCATCTTCCCATTGATTTTCATGCAAATGTTCTACATATATGTACACCTCTTTGTTCACTGGAATTTCAGTAATCAATCCTAGGAATCAGCATCACTATTTATCCTTAAAACTGTAGGTTTTCTTATGTTGACAGCCTTATACCAAAATTGGACTTTTTTGTCACAAAACCTAAGCATTCTGACCAACCATCTCAAATCTAGAATAGCACCAAAATCACAATTAAAATGGTCAAAATACTCCATTATCTCATTTTTATAACTAAACCTAGGTTTCAAAATCAAATCCCCACCAAGATGCAGTTTTACTGTAAAAACAGATTCTTCCTCACCATCATCTAGATAAAATAAAGAGATAATAATCAAAAAAAAGTATTAAAAAAAAAAATTATACTAGTAGACAAAAAACAGTTAAGTGCAGACAAAAATAACACAATTGGTAGACAAAAACACAACCACATGGTCCCCATACTCTAAAGCTTATACAACTAGCACATGGTCCCCACCCCCAAAAATCAAAACTGCACTACTTTATAACATCTAAGTAACAAAAGCAAAACTGCACTGCTTTATACTACCAAATCATGGTCCCCACCCCCATCAGTGCTTTCTTCTACAAAGTAACAATAGCAATAAAAAATACAACCAAACACAGACATTAATGCACTGTTGTCTACCTCAAAGTAACAACACCAATAAAAAAAAACAACCAAACACATATATTTATGCACTGCTGTCTACCTCAAAGTAACAACACCAATAAAAAAAAACAACCAAACACATATATTTATGCACTGTTGTCTGTCTACCTCAGTACGAATCAAAAACACCAATAAAAAACACCAATATAAATCATTAATGTACTGCTGTCTACCTCAAATAAAGCACGAATCAACATAAATACTCATTTCAAGGTTCTATGTCTATCAAAAACATATTATCCCAAAAAAACCCTAAATTTTGACAAAAAACTTACAATTAGGCGTAGTAGCAAACCCATTGATCCTCCGACTTGTCATACTGTCGCTCCAATGCCTACGATTTTGCTCCAATCAGTACGATTTTACTCCAATTTGGTGGATTTTGGTAGGGAAAAGGTTTAGGGCTTTCTCTAAAATGTAAGGGTTTTTCGACACTTAACCAAAAAAGGCGGAGAACGATGTAAGAATAGGACCAAAATGTGAAATGACAAACTTACCCATGCCAAATCGGAGCATTCGCCGGATTCTCAACGGGGAACTGTCGGAGGGGGCAAATCGACTAAAAACAGTTATTTCCAAGGACTAAATCGATGATTTAGCGATTAAGGGACTACATTGATATTTCGCTAACAATTGAGGGACCAAATCGTTGATTTTCCCCTCTAAAGTATGCTCATAATATTCATTCTATATGTTCATAAATACAAAGGTTAATGTACATAAATATATACACTGCAGATGCATCATGCTTGATAACATTCATCATCTACTATGTTCATAATATTTGTTCTATATAACCAGTTAATCATAAATCTAAACCTTAATACACATAAATGCTAAACTGCATATATACATCATATATGTTCATAAAAATAAAGTCCAATGTAGATAAATATGACACTACATGTGTATTATGACTGTAGTGTGTGAATGAAGGTTAACCATGCTATGTTAAAACATTATCGTATTGAACTAGGCTTCACCTACTTTACAAGGTGGACCTTGGTCTACAAATTACAATTGATGCAAAACATAACCTTAGTATAATTATACTATTTTTTAAAATGGTGAAATTGGAAAAATAAAAATAATATATATATATATATATATATATATATATATATATATATATATACACACACACACACACACTTAGCAAATAATTCAATTTGAAGGTACCAAAGTTGGCCTTTGTTCCATAGCATGGGCTATCTACAACTAGCCAATTCAAAATTATGAGATACAAAGATGCAGTCATCGATTCTTCCGGGAGTTTTGAGCAAACATATTAATGACGAAGAATGCTTTTTTGTTATGCTACTAATACTTGTATTTGCTCTGATGTTCTGCCCTAGCCCGCATACTGATTGTAACGATTAACCTATTTATCATTCATGATAAATAATAAATAAAAAGAAAGTCATTCCATTTCGACAAAAGACCACACCTAATTTTGTTCGCTATCCCGATTATAATTTTCCTACCCCAAAGAAAAAAGTACTTCCCTTTTGGGTCGTTTGCAGGCAAGGAGAGATTTGAACCACGAACATCGTGGTTCGTAGCCAATGGCGCACCATGGAACAACACACATCATATTACATTTGATTCAAATACAAAAATTAGTATCGAATACTTACTAATCATAATACTTTTAAATAAAAATAATTTACTTGTTTGATTTGATAGTAAATTATAACATAAATCTTTACCAATAAAACAAATAATAATAATAATCATACAAAAGAGGCCTACCATATACTGTGTGGTCTTATGGCATCAATATTGTTTTCGATAAGAAATGTTTCAGATGTTTTGTTGAAAGCTAAGTGACAAGTTTATAATGAGTTTACTAATCTAGGTGAAAAGTATTTCAAGAGTTATGAAATGAAGTTATATAAAGTATTAATTTATAAGTTTTCCTTTTATACATAACTAGTATTTGCACCCGTGCGATGCACGGAATGAATTTGTTATAAAATTTTAAAAATATTTATATCAATATACAATTGTATAAATTATAAAATCGAATATTATATAATATAATTGAAGAATTGAGTTGCACCGATTATGTTTTCTGATGTTATCAATGCTTGAATTCGAATAAATAATTGCCCAATTAATAGCTAACGTGTAGACACTAAAAAAAATACGAAAATAGCGACGGACGAATTCCGTCGCTAAATAGTGAAAATCCGTCGCTAAAGTGTTTAGCGACGGATTTTGTCCGTCACAAAAACCCTCGTCGCTAGAATTTAGCGACACAAAACTTTTCCGTCGCTAACTTTAGCGACGGATTTTTCCGTCACAAACAAAATAAATACGTCGTTAAATTTCTTCCGACGATGGATTCGGAGACAAAATTTGTGAGCGAATAACGACAGAATAGTTCGTCGCTATAATTAGCGACGAAAATTCCGTCGCTAAGCAACAAAATATCTGTCATTAATTTACGATTTCAACGATTCGACGACGAGATTTGCAACGGTATAGCTACGGATTTTCCGCCGCTAAAGACAGCGACGAACAAGTCCGTCGCTAGGGTCCGGAAATTATCCTCGCTATTTCTTTTATTATTTGATTGGATCTCATTTAGCTACAACTTAGTGACAGATATATTCGTCGCTATATTTAACTACGAAATTTTTCATCGCTATACCGTTACCTTACTACCATATTTATTCGTCACTAAATTCTAAAAATTAATAAAATATCAAATGTACCTGCTAATTAATATCAAAAACCTGCATTAAGCCTATAATATAATACTTCAATAATATAATTATAAAATATATTATATTAAAGCATTCAAAGTCAATAACAATAACAAAAGTATAACAGTATAATGTTACATCATTAGGAACTAGTACCAAATATATTAATAAACATAAACTAATCATCTCCTAAATTTTCGTCATTTGAATTAGCTAAATGTTGAGCTTGAGTAATTAGAGCGAGTAGCATGCCATTGCGACACAACTCATCCATCAAACTTGCAATTGAGCCTGAATTTGAGCTTGCATTTGAGTTTGCATTTGAGCCTGCATTTGAGTTCTTTCAGCATGTAGTTTAGCTTCCATCTGAGCCTCCATCTCAACTCTCATGCATGGTCTCTAACTGTTGGTTCACCATCTCCTTTCATAACAGATCAAAACAGATTAAATAAGTTCAGAAACTGACATTCTTCTACCAAAGCTGTTTTCAGCTTATTTTAATCAACTCCTTAAATTGATTTATGGAAATGATTTTAGACAACTTTAATTTTCAAAATCTCATAAGCCATTGATGTGGGATATTTAATCTATGGCATGGAGAATAATCTGTTGTTTTATTGTTACAATTGTATTTTATTTATTTAGAGTTACTTATCCAACTAGTTAGAATACTTAACAAGCAAATAATTTAGTAAGTATGAGTTAATCCTACCAAGATTAGGGTTAACTTTTCTCATTGAATTTGTAATATTCTTAAAGTGATTCCCTGCCATTCAGGTCCACTACATAGAGCCATAGACCATAGTGGGTCTGCATCATCTTATTTAACTATAGCCAAAAGAATTTCCAAGCTGTAGGGAGTTTCATCTCTAAACTGATGCATCATCATTTTGAAAGCAGCAAACATGTTTTCTACTTTTTAAAACCCAACAAAGTTCACTCAGCTGCAAACACATTCCTTAGCATCCTTATAGTTATCTATAATGTTAAGTTCGCCAAAATATCAACCAGTGTGAACACTAGTTTGTTTTCTTGGATAGGTATATCTTGCTAAGAATATGCAGACATTGTATTCAACAGTACAAAATGGAAGGAAAGGAAGTCTTCAATTACCAAATAAATAGATAATCTATATTTATAACATGCATATCTATCACTTCCAGAAAGTCACAGTACCCACATCATACACAAGAGTTGGACAACTTCTGTCCATGTCAAACTTCAAGATGATAAAATAATTAAAAATTAATATGAAACCTCACTACCTCAGGCACTTCAACTTATAATGCACAATTTCAAATACATTAAATATGTAGTGTCAAATCATTTCTAAACTCATTATCCTGAATGTTGAGAGAGATGAGAGATCTGAGTTACGTTGTTGAATAATTTATGGAGTAGAGCAGAGAAAAGATATGTCAACTTCTGAACTTCAACTACTCTCAGATGAGATGAGAGTTATTGAGAGAGCAGAGACGAAATGAGTATCGCAGAGAGCTTTTGGCTTTATACCTATCTTTTATATACTTTATG